TGTAGCCCAAGGGAGGCGCTTTGCACGAAGGCCTCCCCTCCGGCAGCGCCGGCCCTCGGCCCTGGGCAAGCGAATGGCTCCTCTTGGCCCCCCAAGGGTTTGGTTCGCTTGACGCGTCCTCGGGAGTAAGTACAGTATTCGCTTCTCCAGCTCCGTTTGCGAGCGGGGGGAGGGGGTGGCGGGCATCACGAGGGGTTAGTAAGTCGCCTGGGAGCGGGCACTTACACCAATATCGGTGTCTTCGCGTCACACGCTTACCCAGGGTGGACTCTATCCTTGCTTTCTCAACCCAGTTTTCCGAGTTCCAGTAACACACTGAACCACCAGCTGTCTGCACGGGCTGGGTTTAAGCAGCGCGTTAGGCGAAGCCGTTTGTGGTTCGGTGAGAACGCAGCTCATTTTTGAATTTAAGGTACGTTAGAGAAGCCTACCATAAGTCCATTTTGGGTGTAACAGCATTTTTAGATAAATGCCATCATGGCCTAAATATGCAGCCAAATGTAAATTGTGGTTTGTAGTTTTGGAACACTTCATTGACTGACAAAACACACTTTATCTGATTGAATTGACCCATTTTCTGGGTGTGCACATTACATTGAACCATAAATTAACTAAATAGATTGAGCTTGATAGTACACTATATCACAAAAAACCTAACCAAAGTTAACATTAATCGGGCTTCTCCTGTTGTACAAATGCTTTACATAGCATGTTCTGAAGTCCAAATTGGCTCAGTTATTCAGGAAAGGAATCTTTAATTTCCAGTGGAAGGTGTGCTTGGTGTGCTATAATGGTGAAAAAAGGGCAGATTCAGTATTGGGAATTTATAGATTACACACTTTGTTATATAAATACAATTGCTGTAGAGTGCTCAAATTGCTCACAGCTTGATGCCAACTAGGCAGAGAAGATGAAAAAAGTCTCAACCTGCAAAGTTATCTGAGATCAGTTTGATACTGTGAGTACTAAGGAAGTGTACAGGATCCTCTATAGTACAGATAGTCCATTTTACTTCTGCGTTCTCCATTAACTCTGCTTGTCGCAAGCCTCTTGGGAAGCACGCAAATAGTGGTCATATGACCACGGGACACTGCAGTGGTCATAAATGTAAGGATTGGTCGTAAAGATGTTTTTTTTTAACATCGTTGTAAGTTCGAGGGGTTGCTAAATGAGGCAGTCAGTAAGCCTCATAGACTCAGCCACCTGTAGTCTGGGATTCTGTCTCTCCTAGTTAGTAATCTCCCATCATCTCCAGGTAGATGATGGGAGCTGAATCAGGATGGTGATAAATGTGTCCTTCAGAGAGGGAGTGTTACCCTTTTTTTTTTGGAAAGACGTGATAGTATACTTCCTCAGGAAGCCATCACTCAATTCTGATATACTGGATGATTATTAACTTATCTCCAACTTCCCCTTTTGGGGCAAGGTTACAGTATAGAGAAGGTATAGTATAGTATAGAGTATAGAGATCTCTCTGGAGGAGCAGATTATCTGGACCCATTTCAGTTTTGGTCCAGCACAGAAAAGGCATGGTTCTCATTATCATTGATTTCTGGTGGGACAAGAATGTGATCCTTCTGGTCCTGCTTGATCTCTCAGGAGCTTTTGGTACCTTTTCATTATCATTCTGAGTGGTCTCCAAGGGTGAGGAATGGGGAGCACTCTATTACAGTAATTCCCATTCCTGAAGGGATAGATCCAGTTGTGGGGACAGATTGAGCCACAGACCCTTCTATTGGAGAGTGCTGCAGGGCTTGATACTGTCCTTGTTCCTATTCAATATCTACATGAAACCACTCTGAACAGGATTGCAGTCCCCAGATGTTCACAGTTTATTTATTTATTTATTATTAAATTTGAAGATCTCCCAGCTTCTGCTCAAAGAGCAGGTGGCAGCTGTGGCAAAGAGGGCCTTTATATATTGTAGCTCCATCTTGTGCAGCAATTGCAACCTTTTCTGGGACCGCAGGCATTACTCAGTGTCACTTGTGCCTCAGTCACCTCTTGATTGGACTATTTCAATGCATTGTACATGGATCTGCCTTGAAGAGCATTCAAAGCTACAGCTGGTCCAGAATGTAGCAGCTTAAGTGCTGATGGTGCACCTCAAGCCCATCACATAACACCTTTAATCTGAGGAATGCACTGGTTACCAGTTGGCTGCTGGGTGCAATTCAGAGTGCTGGTTGTCATATTTAAAGCCCTTCCTGGTTTGGAACTGCCTTCTCCCTGTAACATCTGCCCCCCCCCAATCCAGTAGAACAAGCTATTTACTCATCCTGATAATTAGAGATTATCATTGTCAGGGACCACATAAATGTACCTTTTCAGACATTGGTCACCTCCTCTGGAATAGTATACCCCCACCCCAATGTGCGATCAGCCACTTCACTTCTGGTTTTTAGGAAGCTGGTGATAGAAGCTTGCCTCTTGGTCAAGAGATTGGAATTCTGTTAATATTTTAGTTGCAACTCTCAGTTCCATAGGAATATTTCTAGTTATTTTTATCTGATTACGTATTGGGGAGTTATGCTCTGCCTAGAGCTGGCAGGGAGGATCAGCCTATTAAGTTCTGTAAATAAGTCCTGCATTTCCAATGATAACAGAAATAGGTAGTGGAAACTTAAACATATTTATTGAGATATATTTCTCATTTTTCCATGGCTTTTTCTCTCTATTAAAATGATGAGAAACTGTAAACTATTTTGTGGAATCCTTTAAACTAAGAAATGTTATTGTCTGGCTAAGAGTACAGTCCAAATTATCAAATGTCTGAAAGGTTGTCCCGAATCACTGATGTATGCATGCATATGCTGTAGTGAAGTTACTATTTTTAAAATGCCCCAATCTCTTTTGTTCTTTTGCTCCAATATATTAACCTGGCTTTCTAATACAGTCACAGTGTATGTGACATGCAGAGACAAAAATAGGAGAACATCACTTGATTCTGAATGAAAATACCTTGAAGAAATGAATAGTCTACCAGTAATTTCTTTGCTTGTTTGTTAGGAAATGCAGAGCTTTGCTAGTTGTGATTGAAGTAGGAGTATAGTATTAATATTTCTATTAGGGTTAGTGTTGCATTATGCTATTCTGATTGCATGATCCAAAAATCTGTGAAATAAATAGATTAGAAAGCAGTTTTAAATGTTTTTGTTCATATGAATTTTTGTCCAAAAATTGATTAATTCCAAGAAAATTGGAAAAACTTTTTGTGATAGACACTGCATGCTCCAAAGGATAATTGTTCCCTGAACCACAGGCAAAGCCACATTGGTAGTCTGTTTTTCCATTGATTTCTTAATGCATGTTGCATCGAGAATCTGAAAAATATTATGTCATTTGTCCTTAAAGTCATTTACACTGCCTGTACTAATTTCGATGAAAAAACTATTTACAAAAATGGCACTAAATATGTTGAATTTCAAGTACAATTAGATAATTATTTATTAAATATATTTGTATGCTGCTGCAATAAAAATTGATTCACAGTGGCTCACATGGAAAAATATGTTATAAAACAAATCCTGTACAAAAATAAAAACACAAGAACAGTACTGTAGTGCTGTAAGAACAGATTATGACATGGAATGGTACTAGGTCCAATTCCAAGTCCTCGCTAATGACTTATTAGGTTCTTCCTCATGAGTGAATTACAAGCATTTTCCTCCAGGCCACTATAGTTTACGTAGCCTTCATGAATACTGTTATAGTTAATATTGTTGTTCTTGCAGATTTACTGAAGAACAAGTCAGGGAAAGCGATTGATAGATTCCCTTGACTTTATTTTCCACCATCACCTGTAAACATCACCAGCCAGCAGGAAAAATGTCCACCAATTGTGTTCCTAAATGTAAGCTGGGGAAAGATGCAAATTTTGATTGATGGCTAGACCCACAGATTTAGGCATCTGTCAGAATCCGGTATTGAGACTGCTGATCTGTGAGCCAGGTGGGGGCTTCCCAGTACTGTAAAGCAGGAGAAGAGAGAGTATTAATTTGTGTTTAAATAGCCCCTAGAACAGTGATGGTAAACCTTTTGGGCTCAGTGTGTCAAAAATTCAGAAAATACCTAACTTGACTCTGTTGGCATGTCACCCCCTCGAAGAAAAGAGAAACAATTCTTTACATATTCATTTATTTAAAAAAAAATACAGTCCAATCATGTGTGGTGCTATGTATCATATAAAG